CCCTATCAGTCATTTATATTGGAAGGAGACATTTTCAGGCATTTGCAGCGACATTTCTAGAGGCAATGTTCTTGAAGATATTAAACTGATAGCCACATATTCGATGGCTTCATAACAAGCTTATAAAGAGTTTACTGTGAATACAAATGACATTCTAGACAGCAAATAAGAGAAGATTGCAGAATGCTGTGTTCTTAATTGTTATCATGGGGATCAAATTCACTATAGCTTAATAATCAACATTATATATTTTCATGGCATTTTAATTTTTGGTTTATTTTATGTGTATGAGTGTTTTGCCTGTATGTATGTAACTGCACCTGTGTCATACAATGCCTGAGGAGGCCAGAAGATGGTGCTGGATTCCCTGGAACTGGAGTTAGGGATGGTTGTTAGTCTCTGTGTGGATGCTGGGAACCAACCTCAGGTCTTCTACAAGAGCAACCAGTGCAGAGCCATCTCTCCAGCTCACATTTTATTATTTTTGAGACAGGGTCTCATGTAGCCCGGGCTGGCCTTGAACTAAACAGCTGAAAATTACTTTAAACTCCTGATTCTTCTGCTACTACCTCCTAAGTGCTGAGATTACAGGCATGTGTTACCAGGCCTAGTTTATAGGGCTCTGGAGACTGAACACAGGGTTTGCTACATGCTCGATAAGCACTCTACCAATGCATATATTCTCAACTCCTTCATGGCATCTACCTTGTTTGAAGCATTTTTCATAAACTCCTTCACTTGATTCCCCCAATAAAGTAGGTCATTCTGACATTATCTCCATTTTATAAATGAGGAAACAGGCTCACAGAATGAATGAGTTGCCAGTTCACAATAGCTAGTAAGAAGCAAGATAGGCAGCTCACTACCAAAGCCCTGGGAAGAAAGTGCCTCAGCTGGATCTGCTACAAGCCAGACTCTGAGGGGAAAGTTCATCCTGGGTAAAGAAGACCCCAACAAGCCAAGCAGCAAACTCTCCTCCTATGCCTTTTTTGTGCAGAGTTGCTGGGGAGAGGACAAGAAGAAACACACAATTTTTCTGTCAATTTCTTCGAGTTCTTTTAAGAAATGTTCCAAGAGATGGACGACCACATCTGCAAAGCAAAAGTTGAAGTTTGAAGATACCACAAGTGACAAAGCTCACTATGACTGGGAGGTGAGGAATTATGTACCTCCAAAGGTGACAGAAGAGAGGGAGAAGACTACAGTTATATTCTAAAGACTTTGATGGTGAATACTGCTACATATTTAATGGTTTCTTTAATTTCTTGTGCACAGCAAACATCATAGGAATTCATACTACTAGCAACTTTCAGATTTTTAATGATGCATTTTTAAAATTTGTAAAAAAAATTATGTGCATTTTTAAAGGGAGCAGCAAGGTAGACCTAGCACCCATATGTCCTAATTTCATACTGATAAGTAGAGAGCGGGCGGGCACGAGTGGATGGATGAGGCACCGAGGCACAGATAGAATTCTCAGCGGGATACAGCTTTATTTCGCACGGGACACGTTTCCCTCGGGGAAGGGAAAAATGTCAGCTCACAGGTTGTGAGCTGGGACTTTATATATGGGGGCTTTGGGGGGGGGAAGGGGGGATTGTTTGGGGGGGAACTTAGGGGGGGGGAGGAGGCGGGCACGAGCGGATGGATGAGGCACCGAGGCACAGATAGAATTCTCAGCGGGATACAGCTTTATTTCGCACGGGACACGTTTCCCTCGGGGAAGGGAAAAATGTCAGCTCACAGGTTGTGAGCTGGGACTTTATATATGGGGGCTTTGGGGGGGGGAAGGGGGGATTGTTTGGGGGGGAACTTAGGGGGGGGGAGGCAGGGGGGGTTAGGGCCGGGAAGTGTTTACTTTTTCCCTCTTAAGATAAGAGGAAATCTGCTTATCTTATCTTTGGAGGTCAGAGGAAAGGCAGGCTGCTTCTCAGCAGAGTTTGTTCTTCTTGACCTCAAAGGTCAAGGTGCTTATCAGCTAAGTTCCCTTTTCCAGGCTCCAAAGTCTGTAGGTCCCTGTTGGGGGCGGGCGGGGGGAGCTGCTATTTGGAACCCTAACACATACATGTCCCTTGCCAGCACCCTACACAACTCACTAATGCTTTCTCAATTTTGTACATGGCTAACAACCATTCTACATCCTTTGGAAACTAGAATTAAGCAAGCAACAATCCAGACTAGTTAAATTTATTTATTACTCATCTAATAAAATACTATTCTTTAAGAGTTTCCTTTTTCATGGAGAAAGATATTTATATTTAACAAAAATTTCAGTATCTGCTGGGTCTGGTGGTGCAGGTCTGTAATCTCAGCTACTTGGGAGACTGGGGTAGGAGGATCTAAGTTCAAGGACTAGGCCTACTTAGACAAGTTAGTGATACTGTCTCAAAAAAAAAAAATTAAAGAGAACTAGACAAATAGTTCGAATGGATGCCTAGTATGTATCAAGCCCTAGGTTCAATCTCCAGTACTAAAAAACACCACCACCACCACCACCTTCAACAACTAAATTGAGTACAAAGAATAGCCTATGTAATTAAAAGTTTGACTACAGGCATGGTGGCACATGCCTTTAATCCCAGTACTCAGGAGACAGAGGCAGGCAGATCTCTGTGAGTTCAAGGCCAGCCTGGTCTACTTAGCAAATTTAGGTCCGCTGGTAGGGAGACCCTCTCTCAAAAAAACCAAAAAAAAAAAAAAAGGTTGACTAGACTAGAACCTACTAAAATGCTGCTACACAAAACTTTTTGAGGGCCAGCCAAATGGTCCAGCAAGTAAAGGCACTGTCAAGCCTGACCACTTAGAGACAATCCCTGGGAACCACATGGTATAAGGAGAGAACTGATTCCTGTAAGTTATCTTCTGAAACCCCCACACACCTACCCACACACTAAATGTAATTTAAAAAATAAAAAAAAAAATTTTAATAGATTTGGCGGACCCAGTTTTTTTTTTTTTTGGTCTTTTTGAGACAGGGTCTCCCTGTAGCCCCAGCTGGCCTGGAACTCACTATGTAGACCAGGCTGGCCTTAAACTCACAGAGATCCGCCTGCCTCTGCCTCCCGAGTGCTGGGATTAAAGGCGTGCGCCACCACGCCCGGCATGGACCCAGTTTTTTTAATTTTTAAAATTATGCTATGTGTGTATATATCTATGTGTGGGTCTGTGCATGTGAGCGGCAGTGCCCAAAGAGGCCAGATGTGTTGGCTCTCCTGGAGTTGGAGTTAAGGCAATTGTGAGCCACCTGGTATGGGTGCTGGGAACTGAACTTCTCCAAGAGCAGTATGTGCTTTTTTTCCCCCCGAAAGATACAGATAGCTTTATTAGCTGTGAGGGGCACACAATCTTCCCGAGGATATAGAGGTTGGGCGTTGGGGGTGAGAGAGGTCTGGGATTTATAAGTGGGCCCAGAAAATCCCAGAAAGGGGGTCATGCCTTCCTGAATCCCAGAAGGTGGGGCATGCCTTCTTGGACGGTGTTATGCTCCTCCCTGGGATCAGAGAAGGAGCAATGGGGGGGTTCTGATAAGGGGTTGATAAGGAACCAGATTTTTAGGAAGGCTAATAAGAAACCAGATGTCTTTTGCTAGGGGGCATATGTGTTCTGAAATAGATTTATCTCCCTCCTGGAGTGGGGGGGCCGGGGGCAGATGGTCAGTTCCTTCAGTCATGTTAGTCTGATTTTCCTTCATTCCAGACCCTGAAGACATAAAAAGAAAGGAATGCAGCCTCCTTTTTCCACTCTTTGTGTGTGTGTGTGTGTGTCTGTGTGTCTCTGTGTGTGTGTGTGTGTATTGCCTGCATGTAGGTAAGTGCACCCATGTTATGCAATGCCCACGGAGGACAGAAGAGACTGTCGGATCCCCTGGGACTGGAGTTACGGACCGTTGTTACCTGCCATGTGGCTGCTGAGATTCAAACCTGGGTCTTCTACAAGAACAGTCAGCAGATTCTGTAAGAATCTTTGGAGACAACAGTTGATTAAGCATAGTACAATGATCCCATTACTCAGGAGTCAATAAGGATTTAGAAGAGGGAGTGGTGATGAGCTGACCAGCTCATCATGAGTCCAGTCCTCATTCCAGGTATCCAGGTCCATTGACGTTCTGGTCATGCCCTCTTCCAGGAATAGGAAATTACTTCAGGAAAAAGAGAGAGGTATGGGAAAAAAACAGAACCTCTTGTTGGCATCCCCAACCTTAGCTAAGGTGAAACTAGAGACACCTTTGGATTAGATAGTTCTGACATTCATAGCCTCAGGATACATTAACTGCCAGATCAAAAGAAATTTCCAGCTTTCAGTCAGAAACTACTCATTTTTCTTTTGGAGGTCTTCATACTAAAGCTGCCTGGCCAATTTATACCTCCTATTCTTATTATTCCTCCCTCTGAAGAGGTAACCCTAATTGCCCATAGGGAATTGGGGCACTGACCACTCTGGCTTCTTCTTTTTTTTTTTTTTTTTTTTTTTTTGGTCTTTTTGACACAGGGTCTCCCTGTAGCCCCAGCCGGCCTGGAACTCAATATGTAGACTGGGCTGGCCTTGAAGTCACATAGATCAGCCCGCCTCTGCCTCCCGAGTGCTGGGATTAAAGTCATGAGCCACCACACTCAGCCCACTCTGGCTTCTTAAATGCTGAATAGAGGTGTGGAGAGTGGCAATTTGGGGTACCCCTTCAGTAAATCTACTTAAAAGACCCCCCAAAGGCATAACTGTTAGCTATAGAGAGAAAAGAAAGTTCTTGGCTGGTGCCTGGAAGGAGATGCAAAGGATAAGTAAAGGCAAGAGTAGTTAGGCACAGGTTCTAGGCAGCGAACCAGGAAAACTCGGAACAGGGTGAATTTTAAATGTCCACATCAAAGTCCATTAAAATTTCTTGATGAGGGCTTCCAAAAGCATCCATTGATTGGGTTCCTCCTCATTTTTCTTTTGACTGCCACAGCTGGACTTGAGAGTGATAAACTCAGGATCTGCTTTCAGGCACTTTGATAGCTGTTGGAGTGGCTAGAATCACAGTGTGAGCTCCCTCCCAAATGGCTTCTAGACAGAGAGACAGAAGAAATTTAGCCATCATTTAATTTTTAGGTAAGAACAATAGTGAGCTTGTCTTTCTTAGCTGCAGGTAGGCACTGCAGTGAACTAGGCCAAAATCTGAAGTTTTACACCTGAGTAGTATTTTCTTATCAAGGAGAAAATTATAGTGAGAATTTTCAAAATAACATTTTATACAAACTTTTAAGCCTAATTTCTAGGATACACAGCCCCTCAGACTCTAAAAGAAACATACTGATCATTTTAATTTTTGGTTGTACTTTCCTTTTGGGTGTTTTAGATCATACAGTTGGCCCAAATAACCAATTTTTTATTTTTCAAAGTCAATTGATGATCTGATCCTCAGGGGTCACTTGGGCTTTGGAGGAAGCCCCTGGCTCCTTTGACTTTCCTTTTACTAGTTCCTTCTTATGTGAGGATAAGTCAGAAGGCCCTGCTTAATTGTGGCTTCACTTGGAAGTATGGAGGAAACTTTCCTTTGTGCTAACCCCCCTCCTTGTACACTGGACACTGGTTTGAGTACCTCTAGTGAGGTCTTCATGACCTCACTGAACAAGAGGACAGGTGACTCATCACAGTTACGGGATACTTTGAGAGATGTCCCATAGTCCCCTGGGACTTAGTCAACCTTGTAGGGCAAGGACCAAAAATTTTCCCTTTAAGTCCTTTTGACCAGATTAGTATAAACCTCTAAGAATGATTATTAAATATTCAAGAAGGGGCTGGAGAGATGGCTCAGCAGTTAAGGACACTGGTTGTTCTTGCAGAAGACCTGGGTTCGAATCCCAGCATCCACATGGCAGCTAACAACTGTCTGTAACTTCAGTCCCAGGGGATCCAACAGCCTCTTCTGACCTCCACGGGCATTGCAGGGCATGGGTACACTTACCTACATGCAGGCGATACGCACATACACATAAAAATAAAATTAAAAAAAAAATTATCCAAGAAGGTTAGTTACACCATCTGGTATTTTTAATTACTGTGTAATACATATAGAGAGATAAAGCTTTAACAAAAATTCAGATATTCTTGAATAAACCTTGAGTGGAAGAGATTTAACATCACAGATTAAAAAAAGAAAAGAAAAAAAAAAATCATAGATCAAGTAGGCATGGCCCAGGAAAGGGATTTAAAATAATTCCCTCAGGTCTGTCTCTAGACCCTGAAGACATAAAAAGAGAAGAATGTGGGTGTAGTCCTCATCTGATTATTTCCTGTTGATTATGGGCAAAGTGTGTGTGGGGGGTCATATCATATACCTACAGACAGGGAAGGAATAAGTTGATCAAGATTCAGACCAAGATCACCAACACTGTTTCCTTCTTGACTTTTCCCATCTGGTCCAGGGAGGCAAAACCTAGCTCCTCTTGAGCCAAATTATCTTGTTATGGGCAAAGGAAAACAGCAAAAGTAATACTTGCAATAATGTAGAGGAACACAAAGGATCTTTTCCAGAAGCTACAGGTAACCCCAATACTTGTTTGTATCCATTCAATCTAAGACTGCAACTGGGTGTGCAGCACAAGCGAGGAGTAGACTGAAATTTTTTGGCTGCAACAGCAGTTACTTTAATACTAGCTCAGTATCTCTATAAACTTACTCAGACCTTTAATAAACTTGCTCAAACATTCTTATTATCCCTTCTGTTCTGGAAACATCCAGCCATAGACATAATAGCATTTACAAACTTAGCATTTGTTGTGAGAATTTAGTTATATTTAAGCACAGAGATGAACAATTAACACATTATTTACAAACTTTTAAGATGTCTTAAACTTCAAGATGTGTTTGTAAATCTTGAAGCAGTTTTCTTAAATGTTTAGAGATGTTTTTACATAAGCCTGGCAAAGACATGGACCTTGACAAACCTGTTGGCTTTAAAGAGGCAATATAGTGATCACAAACATCCTAAAAATCTTTAAAATGTTTCTATTATACAAAATATATCTAAAAGTACAGAGATAAGTGATCTTTTCTTTAATCCTTGGAATAAAGAGTTTAAGCATCTCAGAAGAGCAAATTTTCCATAGGAGAAATTACACCCTGGAGCAGGAGTAATCATCTGTTAAAATTATCTTATATTGCTGGGCTTGGTGGTGCACGCCTGTAGTTCCAGCACTTGGGAGGCAGAGGCAGGTGATCTCTGTGAGTTCAAGGCCAGCTTGGTCTACATAGTGAGTTCCAGGTCAGCTGGGGCTACAGGGAGACCCTGTCTCAAAAAACACACACACACAAAAACAAAACAAAAAGAATTGCGAGATTTGAGACGCATGACAAGCTGTATCAGATAGCAGTGGGGCAGTGGACAGAAACATGGGGCCAAATGAGACAAAAGGGATTAGGCTAGGCCCTTTATTAAGTTTGGAGGTAAGAAAACATTTGCAATAAAGTAGAACATTTGCTGTGGTTTTTACCACCTGCAACTGGCAGAAGGGCCAGAAAAAGACTGGTGCAGCGTCAGAGGTTTTTGGTGTAGTCGCAAGAAGACTTGCAGACAGTGGACAACAGACCTTGAAGGACCGACAAAAGCCGTAGAGAAAAGTGACAGGAAAGACACACAAAAACCCTTGCCAGCAGTCAGGAGGCAGAACCAGCTTTATGAACCATGGCCAGGGTGTGGGCCATGGAACATGGAGAGAAGCCCCAGAGCTGCACAAGGTGGAGAAAAGTGAGTGACCTCTGGGGATGGAGCCACCAGTCCTAAGAATTTGCAAAGAGGCAGATAGAAGGAGTTTGCAAAGAAGGAGCTGGAATTTGCCCAGAGGAACACAGGGGAAAGGTGGGAGCAAGGACAAGTTTTGCTGGCAAAACCTGTCAGCATTTGTGTGTGACTGGGAAAGCTAAGGTAAAGAGAGAGATGAGCTAGGAGGGTGAAGAAAGCCTCAGACTACTTGCCATTTTGTTGAGTGTAGTTATCCAAAATAGGATATTGAAATGAGAAAGTGCTGAATTCAGGCCCTCTATGACGATTGTTCACTGCTATTGAAGCCGGATTTAGGCTAAGAGCACCAACAATTCGGAGCCCATTTTGGGGCGATTTTTTAGGGCAGGGTAAGGTTTAGAGGAGACTGTTCTCATTATCTGGATTATCACCCAGAGTTTGGAGGACAGTCAGAGTAGTGTCCCAATCTTCAGAAGGGAGCCTCCCCATCTTGTGAAGATTTAGGAAAGGGAAAAGCCAGAGGTGGTGACTCCTAGAGTCCCAAGTGGGGTCAAGATCCTCAGATGGGAGCATTCCCACCTTGTGAAGATTCAGAAAGGAGACAAAGGCCAGAGTGGGGACTCCCTTGGGACTCCTGGAGTTCCCAGGTGGGGCCAAGATCTGGGACCCCTCTAGATCAGGACTGGTCTTACCTTACCCAGTTGGATGGTGTTTGAGTGCATCCATGAGACAAATGGTGAGGAGCCTCTGATCTGAATGCCAGTGGATAGATGAGGCAATGAAAGAGGAAGGCTGTAAGAGAGAACCCAAACTGGGTTTACGGTGGCACACCAATAAAACCCCTAAACCCACTTGCACCACTCAGGAAGACAGAGGCCTGGAAAGCTAGGGCTATAGGTCGAGTTTGGAGGCTGTTTAGTCCATATAGTGAGTCTGGAGGGTGGCCATGCTCCCACTGGGATGGGTCTTGAAGGGAGAATTATAGGAAAGGTCACCTGGAGGGAAGGGCTGGGGCTCAGGACCCCAAAACCCTACCCAGGTTTCCGCACCAAATAGAATTCAGGGTGAGAAGGCAATATGATAAAGTAGAAATGGAGTTCCACTTTTTTTTTTTTTAAGATTTTCATTTTATATGTACGAATTTTTGCCTGCATGTATGAATGTCCACTACGTGCGTGCCTGATGCTTGGGGTGGCCAGAAGAGGGTATCAGACCCCCTAGAACTGGAGTTAGGTGGTTGTGAGTCACCATGTGGGTGCTGGGAACCAAATCTGGGTCTTCTGCAAGAGCAGCACGTGCTCTTAACTGCTGCACTGTATCTCTAGCTCCCCCTGCCCCATATAATCTTAATATAAAGACCAAGCTAAGCCAGACATGGTGGCAAACACCTGTAAACCCAGCACTCAGTAGCAGAGATAGGAAGAATTGGGAGTTCAAGTCCAGCCTAGGCTAGATGAGTTGCTGTCACAAAAATAAATAAATAGGCTGAGAATGTACCTCAGTAGAATACTTGGCTAGCATGGCTCAAAGCCCTGGGTTTGATCCTGAGCACCACATAAACTTGTGTGTGGTGGCCCATATCTGTAATCCCAGCACTCAGGAGGTGAAGGCTGGAGGGTCACAAGTTGGTGTTTCTTGGCCCCATGGCAACTTCTGAAGCTACCATGAGATAGATGAGACCCAATTTAAACAAATAGACAAATGAATAACTTTTTTCACCTAACAAGATCAATTAAGTACAGTAGGGCCTGTTTCTCTTTTCTAAAGCAGCTCGGTAAGTATTTCCTAGTCTACTCATTAACACATTTTACCTCCTCTCCATCTATTGTCTAAATTTAGATGGTCCTCACAGACCTCAGCTGAGGAGGCCGCTTTGAGTGACGGTATTTTGTTTCATGTGACTCCCTCTCCAGCCAGAACTGTTTCAAATTAGAGCTCACCACCTACCAAAGTGAAGCCAACTTGTGAAATAGGCTAATATAAAAAGTACTCAGCTGGATGTGGTGGCACACACCTATAATCCTAGTACTTGGTGATAGATAAAACTGGGATAGGTAAATCGAGTCACAGACAAGAACTATGACAGGATAGAATTTATTAGCAGAGGAAACGGGATAGTTCCCTTGGGGATAGAGAAGCTGTCCCTCCTTCAGGCTGCTGGCTGGGGGTTTTTGGGGGATGGGGAAGGCGGGGAGATTTTTAAAATTAGGTGGGTGGGGGGGGGGGGGGGGGCCAAGGGCTTAACAGGAGGGAGTAGCCCCTGTCAAACCTCCCCCTTC